ACTACTACTACTACTACTACTACTACTACTACTACTACTACTACTACAAAAATGTGTATCCAAGAAAAAAGCATACACAAAGAGGCACATAGAAAACAACCATAGAGAATAATATTATAATAGGTAGACATACCGGTATTTTTTTAAAATTTTATTTTAATGTATTCCTCTGCATCACAGTGGAGTCAGGACAACTGAATAGAACTGAGCGTTTATTGGCCAGATGCCCTTCCTGATGCCTACATGGAGCTCACAGCAGATATTTTCCCTTTGTGTCCAGGGAGAGAAATATCTGCAGGTACTTAGGATCAAACTCATAGCCTCCTGATTGTGAGGCGAAAGCTCCACTTCTAGGCCACCACACCACTCATAATTAGATATAGTTATAATTTATATAAAATGTAAAATGTAAAAAAAGAAATATATTTTTAAAATCATCCATGGCTTTTTTTTTTGGCATATTTAAAAGAATATCGTGTTTTGTTTAAGGAAGGACCCCTTTAAATTTTATTTCAATTTAAGCTCACCATTTTCTAATATAGTGTGTATGAAGAAGGCAGAATGGTTCAAGAGGCAAAAGTCAGTCCTTAGAAGCTAAATTTCAACCTATCAGATAACTTTCAAAGATGGGTTGGATTGACTGGACAAAGGAAGAAACATAATTAAAGATTTTAGGATTTAAAATTTCTTTTAAAATATTCCCCATGCTGGTTCTGACTTTGAAACTGGAAGGGCTAATCAGCCAGTAAGATTTGCTCTTTTCCCCCATTCATCAATCCTCATGTTTTTTCCTCCTAACTCAATCTGAGCACCTATCTTTAGAAAACCCACTAACATACTACTTCTTCTGGTTTCCACTGCATGGAGCAAATCTCCGTATTATTTGGGCTGTGGGGAAATAAAAGTTTGAGCACTAATGTTATAATATCCTGGGGATATGGGTATTCTTTCATCTTATTGTGGTAAAGGTTAGCTGGTCATTTCTAGCACTCATTGTGACATTTGCTGCTGGAAGTATCTTTATGTTAGGATCTGTTCTTTTCAAAGGAGATCAAAACTGTAGACAACCTAACCTGGACAACTTATTCTCCTGTTCAGCAACATGATTAAGAAAATAAAGT